GGCTACAAATGAATGTTCTACCGCTTCAAAGACTAATGTTGTGCAGAGGAATTAAAGGATGGCTTCCAGAAAATCACTTAATGAGGAAAAAAATTTTTTCCATTGTGCACAGCACTGAGCACTGCCTGGCTCTCCCTAAACTGCCGCCCTCCAGCATCTTTGTTTACATGTGGTTTACATTAATGTCCACCCTACGAACCACAAGTGTTTCTCTAGTCCAAATTTATCAACACTTTTCCTTCATACCAGGGGTGCCTTGGTAAAAATAGAAGAATTAGGTAGTGAAGTTGTGTGATTCTAAAGTCTCCTGCAATCCATCATTTAATTTCCTATCCTTGTTCTGTTTGCTTCATTTCATACCATGATTTTACATAATACTTCAAAGTTTGTAATCCTTTATTCTGGATGGGTCTGAAACACTTAAAGAATGAGCTTTAGAAGTCAGCTCTTACCAGGCATTTAAGAGGCACGACTTAAAACTGCCAATCAAAGTAGAGTTGTGACAACTGAGGCTTAGAACTATGCGCAAGCCAGGCCCCAAACCAACCCAGACTTTTTGTGTAAATGTCACACTAACGTGGTGGTCAAATACTGTGTAAATAGATACTGCGTTCCTCCCAGAGCCCCTGAGCCTTAAAGATCCTTTTCTTTCCTTCCCCATAACCATCTTTCTTAAAAGGGGGAAATGCTGAGAAAACATTTCTTCCTCCTGTCTTGACTCTTCGCCCAAATCTTCTGCACTGGGGCTTCGGAAACATATTCATCCAAAACCCAAACACGCAAACGGGATGTGACCCTCCCTAGGCGGCGGAGTTGGCCTAGGCAGTGCTTGCGACGCACTGGTACTGGTCGACTAAGCAAAGGAGCTGTTAAGGAACCTCACAAGTTTGTCCTCTCATCTGATTGGGTCTCTATACCCTGCTGGCCCGCCCACATTCCTTCCTTCCCAGGAACTGAGATTCCAAGGTGGACATGTAAGAACTCCATTAGGAATCCAACCCGGAAAAAGAGTCCTTGAGAAACTTTTCCCATCCTTTGTGTAACACAAGGGATTCTAGTAAAAAGGTGTGGACACTTATAAAAGAAGGTCATCGGATAACAGCGACTACCGTAAATGAACCATCCAGCCCTTTCCACTAGGTTGAACAAAGTTATATTTTATTTTCACTGGAAAGAAGACCCATGATCCCAAAGGCAACTTTGTTTTCCTTTCTTTTCCCCATTCAACTGTATCATTTCCCCAAGCATCCTAGTGCCTTCTTATGTTTACGTTCCTATGCCACAGCACCTCAGACTAGATGACATACAGCATGACTGAGTCTTCATCATTACCTAAGCAGGTCTTGTCATTTCAGGCAAAAATTTCTGCGGGGCTAACCTGAATACAGGAGCAGAGTTGAAGGCTGGTTGGATTTCCTGCAAGAAGCAGTTAAACACATCCACAGCTGCAGGAGGTTTGAGGAAGCAGCAAAGCTACCAGCAAGATTCCCTTCCACCTACCTCCTAATCCCAGCGCTGGGACCCCCGCATCCCGGCTGGACCTACCTCCCGAGTAAACAGGATAGCTGCGTCGTAGTGCTCCTCATGGTCATCTCCCAGCTGGTTGTGTTGGTGCTGCCACTTGCAAAAGTTCTTGAGTGTGGTGGCCGCGTTCTTGCTCACCTCCAGGCTCTTATCCTTGTCGCCTAGCACCACCACCTTCACCACGGCCAGGCGGATGTGGTTCTCGATGCTAGCATGGCTGTACAGCCTATTGGCGATGGAGGCCAGGGTCAGCAGGTAATGCTGCAGGCCCCGGCCATACAACCGCGCCATGGACGCGTCAGCCACCAGAAGCAGCTCCACCTGGCGGGCCCGGGAGATGGAGCGGCGCCGCCGCCGCCACCACGTCTGCGGTCCTGGGCCCCCAGCGGGCGAGACAGCGGACTGGTCCAAGAGCTGCGAGGCCAGTGCTGCGCGTCTGTGTATAAGAGACAGGTATACTACAGGGCCAAACACAAATGAAATTTGCTTTCCTAAAAGTATGCTTCTGCTTGGCAAGGAGGCCAGAGAAGGCCCATGTGAAATATTTTCCGTGTGTAGTCTAGTTTGAAAAATGCATGTTCTTATAATACTGACAAAAATTAAGATGGGCCATTAATTTATTTGTCCCTTGCTTTTTATCTATTTAAAATATGCTGTTAGGTTCCAGACTTTGGAAAAATAGGGACAGTTAACTATCCAAACAAAAAACAAATTCAGAAAAAGTAATCGACAAATCGTTGAGAATCACTGAGTAGTTTCCTGTTTTCTGGGAAACAATTAGTAACATTATGGGGCAGGAGGTAGGAAGTAACAGACCTTCTATTAATTTTTATTTATTTTAAAATTATGAAATGTGGATTTGTATTTAAAAATGAAAGTGAACTACTAAAATGACCCACTTCTTGGTGCAATGTGCTTACAAAAGTATTTCTTCCTCTTCCTTTAGAGAACCTCCTTCCATAAACTCTCCAAAGCCTCCTTCTTGGCATCCTCTTGTGATGTAGCAGAGCAAGGAACCCTAGATATGGAAAGTTGCTTACCAAAAAAAAAAAAAAAAAAAAAA